AGCCCCAAAACTAAGGATACTGGCAAGTTGGAGGAGGATGAATCACACAAGGTTTGAACAGAGAAAGAGGAAAAAGCTTATAGCTCCATCCTTCCTAAATTACTGGCCTGTAAATGGCTCAATCTGACAAGAAGGAGAGGTCTCAACATTAAGCCAGACAAATGACATGAGGTGACACTATGCTTTAAGATTCTGAATTGATCATGGACATTTTTACCACCTTAAAGTTGCAGAAATATCAAGATGCCTGCTTGAGTTTCTCAAGGGGCAGGGAAATAATCATGCTGATAATGAATTTAGTAGATACTCATAGACAAAAATAGTTGTTTTTGTGTATTTTATGTCATAGTCTGTGCTTAAATTTTAGTGTTCACAAGGATAAAGTGGCCTTCACAAGGGGGCAGTGTTTCCTCAACACAGGAGCACTGTTACTCCAAACACGCAGTCTTAGCCTTACATCATTTGCAATATATCCGCCATGGCTTTGACACAAACACTGTGGTGTATTGGCCTGGATTCCAGGTATATTACACATTTACAAGAACAGTTTCCTCAGAAAAAGGAAGTCGTGGTCTCATAAGTGAGGAAGACACTTGGTTAATGATGTACAATTTTTAAAAAGACATGAGAAGGATATGAAATTGGAACATGCCACAAAACCTACAGGGCTTCTCAGGTGACAGAGAAATTGCTCCAATCGATTTTAACATCCCATTAAGGACAGCCAGCAAACCAGGGGATGTACTGTCTGCAACACTGAAGCATTCCTCTGGAGACTCAGTCTTGGTAGAATAAATGAAAGGGGGTAATTCCTTCTATTAATTCAGTTCACTCTGGCAATTGATAGGAATATTGAATTAGATTCCTGAAAACTTCACACACTGAAGTGGACGTGTGGAGAGGTCTATGATAACTAAATAGAAGTGAGAATACAATATGAATTATCAAGTTTATTATATCATAACCTAAGGGCAAACAAAATTTTCTCCTCCAGTAATAAAAGGGAAATACCGAGTAAACGGATGAAAACTTTCATTATGATATACAAAATAGTAGAGATGAAAGCATAAGCATTATATTTTGGGGTAAAAATGAATAAGTGGGATGTGACCTTCTCCACCTTGTTCAGACAACATTGATTCCCTAGTTCACAAATATGGCTCAGTAACGTGCAGGAATGTACACCTGCATCTTTCAAACAATAAGTTTAGTCATGCTAATTTTGTATAGAAAAGAACTGAAATATGATTATTGCCCAGTCAAATGTATGTCAAGTATTCTAATCAATTTAACAGGATTAAAATGAATATATGTGTTTGATCACTGCATATGAGAAGCATGCATTATATGACTATTTAGAAGAGAATTTTTATTTCCACTGATATTTCACAAAATAAAAAAAAACAATAACAACACAGTTATTGGGAAAAGACACAATGGTTCTAAAAAGATAAATGCATATATATTTGTAGGTTGGGAATGCTAATGTATTAATGAAACAAAATTCAAAAGATTAGAGTTTATAGTAAAAATACAATAGGCTAATGATAAAATTTTCCAGCATTAGCTCTTACTTGAGGATGAATTATATTTGTGTCCTTGTTTTGGACTACAGTGATCATTTATTTCTCTCAATAAATTTAGTTTTCACCCACACATTTCAAACTTGTTTAAAAATACAAATTACCTTTTTCTTACTTCTGGTAGCATTTCTCATCTGTCCAGAGGAAGAACTGACATGACTCTGTGTGTTTTATAATAAGAGAGCTGAGAAAGGAATCCAAGATACTGCCCCATGTTTTTGGAAAACTGGGTAGATGGTACTTATATTTACAGGAATGAGAAAGACAAAATGATGTTTACAGGAAGATATTTTGAGTTCAATTTTAATATATTAGAAGCTGAAAAATGTATACACTATCAAATAGATATGTTGATTTGATTCTCAGGAATGAGATCCTAAGAAGACATACTGATTTGAGTATCACTATATATGGTCATTATACGTACATTATCCTTGAAGCTACAAGAGTAGATGAGTTCAACCACAAAACCATAAAAGTTATAGAATGAAAAAAAAGAAGAAATGTAAGAAGTTATTGGGCTAATATAAAGTCTTAGAGGGAATATGTGGCAAAAGGGGAAATATAGAAAAGGGTCAAACGTTTTAATGAGCTGGGGGTCCATAAGGAAACTGAGGGAATCCCCATGAGAAATCTACCTAATTAGAAAAATTTCAGTTTAGAAAATCTTGAAAATAATTTGAGTATCACTATATATGGTCATTATACGTACATTATCCTTGAAGCTACAAGAGTAGATGAGTTCAACCACAAAACCATAAAAGTTATAGAACGAAAAAAAAGAAGAAATGTAAGAAGTTATTGGGCTAATATAAAGTCTTAGAGGGAATATATGGCAAAAGGGGAAATATAGAAAAGGGTCAAACGTTTTAATGACCTGGGGGTCCATAAGGAAACTGAGGGAATCCCCATGAGAAATCTACCTAATTAGAAAAATTTCAGTTTAGAAAATCTTGAAAATTTGAGCAGTGGTCCCTTGTGTCTTGAACACCACACACTGTTTATTCAGTAAACAGACAAACTAGCCAATTTGTTACAACACATGTCAGTTCATCTTAACCCTTGAATTCCATGGTTTGTGATTTTTCACCAGCAAATCTGAGTACAAATTTCTTTAAATTTTCATCTGTGTTCTGGGAGGAAAATAACTGCCCCCCTCTTTTTTTTTATTCCAACAAGAGACAACTCAGACACTTTTATGAAGTGGCTGGCAACTCAGAACAGGAAAAATTCAATCCATAATGAAACAAAAACTGATTACTCTGCTCATTCTCTTTCTTGAGAGCAAAATCATAGAAAATTCTGGGCCCCAGCAATAGAAGTAGTATCGGCAAGAGTGGGTTAAAAAAAAAAACAAAACACAACACAAGACAAGCTAGATTATGTGTGTTATGACCTGGTCAGGTAGAACTTGATCTCCCAGAATTCTTGAGTCTAAGTGAATTATTCTATCAGGTGTCTGGCCTGTGAAGAAAGCCATAATTCATGAGAATCACTAAGGATTCACTGGGTTGTGTCACACAAGCTTCATTTATTTCATTTTTTAAAAAATTGATAGAGTTTACTAGACTGGTGGGTTTCCCTGGTGAGGTCAGGAAGATGCCCTGGAGAAGGGAATGACTACCCATTCCAGTATTCTTGACTGGAGAATTCCATGGACAGAGGAGACTTACAGGTTACACAGTCAATGGAGTCACAATGAGTTAGACTCACATACACATATGTACATAAATATTCATTTTATCTTTAAAATTTCCTAAAGTGTGAGTTCTATATTTTTATTACTTGTCTATAAAATAGTATATAAAGATAATGGCAAATTTATGTAACTCATAAAAAATGTACATATATTTGAGTACATATTTAACAACTTTAACTGATGAAATCTTTCATCAAAAACATTTGGAGATAGCTCTAAAGTACAGAGTGGTGAAATGTGCCTCAAAAACTGCAGATTAAAGGAATTGTTCAAATTGACTAATTAACCAATGGTTCAAATTAACTAATTAACTAATGGTTCAAATTAACTAATGGTTAATATAACAGACACTATTTATAAAACAAGAAAATGTATGTGTGTGTATGTGTCTGTGAGTGTGGGTGTGAGTGAGAATTAATTGGATGGTTGGGGAAAAGGTTGTTCAGAAACATGATACCAAAATATGTTAATAATATTTATAGACAACAGGAGAAAAACTGATTTGAGGCAAAAAGACATGCATTTGGTTTTATGGCAAAAAGACAGGCATTTGGTTTTATGGCATAAAAGTACATAAGAATCATTTAACTTTAAAATTGAATTTCAATATGCAAAATGACTATCATGTGTTGAGAAAACTGATGGCATTTATTAGCTTTTATTTGACTGCAGCCTCAGATCTCATTATGCATGCTCATTCAATTACCACTACTGAACTCTATGTCAAAGAATAAAATATCTGAAAAATTACCTATAAGCAGTACCACCACAGTTTTATACTTAAAAAATTTACTAGTTTCCATTCTACACAAAATTTTAATTTTACACCTATAGGTATTCCTACTGCTAGATTAATTAAAAACTAAAATGAAATCCCAATGTTATACATTTTGTTTGAGGACTTCTTTGAAGGTCAATCCTAAAGGAAATGAACCCTAAATATTCATTGGAAGGACTGATGCTGAAGCTGAAGCTCCAATAATTCAGACACCTGCTGCAAAGAGCTGACTCACTGGAAAAGACCCTGATGCTGGGAAAGACTGAGGGCAAGAAGAGATCGGGGTGACAAAGGATGAGATGATTGGACGGCATCACCCACTCAATGGACTTGAGTTTAAGCAAACTCCTAGAGATGGTAAAGGACAGGGAAACCTGGCATGCTGCAGTCCATGGGGTAACAGTCAGACATGACTTAGCTACTGAACAACTACAGATGGTCCAGTGGTTAAAGAATCCACCTGCCAAGGCAGGGGACAAAGGTTCGATCCCTGATCCAGGAAGATCCCACATGCTGACGGCACCTAAACCCGCGCTCCACAACTACTAAACTTGCACTCTAGGGCCCACGAGCCAACAACTACTCAGCCCTCGTGCCATAATCACTGAGGCCCACGAGCCCAGAGCCCGTGCTCCACAAAAGAAGCTACTTCAATGAGAAGTTTGCACATCACAACTAGGCAGTAGCCCCTGCTTGCCTTAACTTGAGAAATCCCACATGCAGCAACAAAGAGTCAGTGCAGCCAAAATGAAATACATTAATGAAATAAAAAACCAAAACCAAAAAATGATTAAATTTTTTTGTTTGAAAAAAGTTATTCTCTAATTAGTCAAGCAATGACATTGATGTATCTTTAATCCTACCTATTCTGTATTACCTTCAAGTCATGACTTTATTAAGCTAAATTTTAGAAAGATCCATTAGAATGAGTGAGACTTACCAATGTACAGCCTCCTCCCACAAAACAATTAATGCTGAAGGAAGAAAAGTATCCAACTCCTCAAGAATTCCCTGAAAGGAAAAGAATAGGAAACACTTTTTTAATTTACATTTTTTGGCAGTTATAGGATGTCAAATCTAAATCAATTGGTAGGATGAAAAAGGAGCACAATAATAATTGACATTTTATAGATTAATGGAATTGACTGATACTTTGAAAAAAATACCATCAAAAGGGTGTTTATATTATTTCCTTGATGTAAAGTGTTATAATCCATTTTTTTTATTTAAAAATTCAATTTAAAGAAAATATTTAAAGAGCAAATATAATCCTTAATTTTTTCTGACATAAAATTAATGCTATAAGAAACTACATAGTAATTAACCACAAACACCATTTTCTTTTCTTAATTGAGAAATTACTTAAAACATATTTTATATATAAGATGTTTATATCTGTTTTTGTTGTGTTACGTAAGAAAATTAACTATTCTCAATTTTTATTGATGTACTACTAATTGTTCATATATGTTTTATTATAGATTAAAAAAGTGTTGTTTATCAAAGTATGTTTATTATCTATGGAACTCTTGCCACATACCCAAGTGACTGCTGTATTCTAGGATCATCAATGACTTTCAAATTTACAGCACAATACTAAACACAAAATAATGAGGCCATAACTATAAAAAAACATGTACATCAGAAACCTTAAGTGAATCAGCTTACAGGATAAACAAGCTAACTGATGAAGTCAGCAGAAGTGCACAACTCAAAGAAAAATCATAGACAATTAAATATTTAACTTAAAATCACGCATCGAACAGCAGAAAATTGAACTGGGTGACAAAGATCAGGTGGTCTAATGATTGATTGGTCATGTGCTCCTAAGTTCCAAAAAGAAATCACAAACAGCAAAATTTCTACCATTTATTAAACACAAAGAACTAAGCATTTAGGGTTTATCATGATTGCTTATGTCTGACCCAAATATCCTTTCCCTCAGACAACCAAGCTTTTTATGTTTCTTTCTTCCTAAAATGTTCCTTTGCTGCCTATCCAAATATTATTCATTCTTTCTAAACCAAACTCTGAACTCACCTAATGTATGGAGCCATAATCTTTTTTGCATTCATAGACTTGTTTTAGTATTAACACATACTTCATCATGCATTTTCACATATGTACCTTTTTTCAATTACATCTTTAGTTCACTGAAACAGCAATAAAGTTCTATTAATTTTGTGTATATTCAGAAATTCAGAATTAAGTAGACTGGATTAAGCAGGGAAAAATTATATTTATATAAATATAGTACATTTGTGTATAGATAGGTGGAGAGATACATATTACTTAGTTGATGGAAAAGATTTGATACTATACACTATATCTAGAATGATCAATGGAAAAATCTCTTTTGACTGATCAAGAAACAACTTCTGGTTTTGAAAGGAAGGGACTGCTTTTCTGTCTAATTTGGCAAACATTTCTTGCTCAGGACTAACAGACTACTACATTGAAACTAATTTCTTCTACATGCCCTTAGTGAATAATGTTAAAATCTAACAAGTCATTTCTAGAACCTTCTGCTGAACTTACAAAGCACTTAAGTTCTGCAGAACCTAAGCAAAATAACATGTATTGAGTAATTACTGTGCCAGATGTCTTTTGTATATTGTTGATCTTTTTCTTTTTTCCCTATGATTAATGCAAACTAATCAGGTAGAATTCATTGGTTTCTCTTCCTTTCAGGTGAGAAACCTGAAGCAAAGAGATTTTTGAGTTACTTTCCAAAAATATCCTAATCAATAAATGGTAGAGTTGGAATTTGGAAGTCTGACTCAGAGCCTTTTATTCTAACTAAAATTACATAGTACCTGTCTACAAGTCACATATTCTAGTTAAATGGGGAAGGGAATTCCAGAAGGAAGGGATAAGGAAAATATTTCACACACTGATGAAACGTGGAACTGACTTCTTTTTTTTTAAGCCAGCAGCAGTTACTAAAGAATTTCCTGGTCATATCCCTTCCCCGATATGCTAAAGGCAGTTTTAGAACCAATGTTTTCATGTAAACAAGTCAAACATTATAAAAACATTATCTAGATATAGAATTACCTTTGGGAGTTTAAAAAGAAAAAAACAACTTTATTTCTAGATATTAACATAGGCATAACAACATTATCAAACATGTTTTTGTTACTTTAGAATTTAAATTATGGAATTTAACTTTAAGTAAGATTTAAAAGCTACAGCTTCCCTTGTAGCTCAGTTGGTAAAGAATCTGCCTGCAGTGCAGGAAACCCGGGTTCCATCCCTGGGTTGGGAAGATCCCCTGGAGAAGGAAATGGCACTCCACTATCTTTGCCTGGAAAATCTCATGGACAGAGGATCCTGGTGGGCTGCAGTCCATGGGGGTGCAAAGAGTCCAGCACGACTGAGCGACTAACATTTACTTAAGATTTAAAACAGCTTTTAAATTTGATCTCTACCTCTCTGCTCTTGAACATCTTAAGCATTTTTATATTAACAAATACAGCATCTGTAACAACAGTATAATTTTGAGCTTTTAGTGCTATGAATTTCACATTTCCCTAAGCCAACCCTGTTCCATAAACTGTGCATGCTTCAGACACTAAAGCAATATTTAAAGATGGTGGGGTTCAAAACTTATTCATGGGAATACTGCTACCTTTTGTTTCTAGGGGCTGATTTACAAGCTGTTATGTCTTTTTCTTTTTTTAGCCACACCTCACAGCACACATGATCTTACTTCCCTGATCAGAGGTTGAATTGGTGTAGTGGAAGTGCAGAATCTTAACCACTGGACTGCCAGGGAAGTTCCAGTGAGTCTTGAAAAAAACCACTTCTAAAACAAATTATAGCATGCATTTAACTTTGAGATTATTGCCAATAATGTTCTCCCCTTTTAAAATTTAGGAAAAAATGAGTCTCAAGCACATTGAATTCATTGCTCAGTTTTACTCAAGTTGTTCTTAGAACTTGTGGGGGCTTCCTTGGTGATCCTGTGGTTAAGGTTCTGTGCTTCTAAATGTAGGGGGCTCAAGTTCAATCCCTGGTCAGGGAACCGAGGTCCCACATGCTGCATGACATGGCCAATTTTTTTTTAGTTAAAAAAAAAAAAATTGGGTTTTTCTTCTGTTTTTTGAATCTAGGTTTCCTGTTATTTCTTTTTGCTTTATTTCTTTTGTGCTACACTATTATCATTTTCTGGCACTTCTTATTTTGCTTTTAGTTTTCACAGAAAAAGTGAATAATAGACTCTTATCCACAACATGCACACACAAACAAGAACAATGTGTGGGTGTGGGTGTGGGTGTGTGAATGTTATTTAAGTTTAAGGTCCTTACTTACGTAAGATATGCCATGAAAAATTTAGAAGGTCATCACTAATCTTCATACACACCAAATATTCTTTAAAAAAATTAATGAATATCAGTGTTACAAATTAAATTTTATCTCATGGTCACTGATTTGAATTCTTAGGACAGTAAAACTATGAATAGGTAAAAAAGACCAACAATTAAGAAGACATACAATATTGGGGAAAAGGTAAAATTTATTAAGTATGCCTTCTGATCTATAATGAAACAAATCATATAAAAGAGGGAATTTCTGATGGTTATAAAAATATACAATAAAGTAAGTGAAATGTTTTAAAAAAGTATGTGCACTCATTTTGAAAGTTCTTTAGCCCCTTGTAATAAAGGATACAGATAGTTAACATGCCTTATCTGATAAAAGATACATATATACACATAGTCTTTCATAAAAAGTTCATAAAATATAATCATGCAACCAATTGGCCTCAATTCATAAAGTTAAAACTAACTCTGTATCACACTGAAATTTGATTTTTCCTATAACAATCTCAGATATTTATGATTTAATTTCTAATCTTCCCTTAAATCATAAATATCTGTCCCTGCCTTTGACTCTTCTCCTAGTCTGTCTCAGCCTTCTCACTCTTCTTAATGCCCTACCTACCCTTGTTAATCCCAAGTTAACCTCTTCATATGCCTTCAAAACAAAACCTTTATCACCTCTGTCCCTGCTAACTGAAAACTCTAGATCCACCTGACATTCTACTTCCTCCATTCCAAATTTTATATTACCCAGCTCTGACAACTTGAATCCCATATCAATGAAACTCCTAATTAATGGCTTTTCAAATTAATAATAGTTTATTTTGTTAAAAAAAGTTTTTTAATGGGTTGGAAAAAAAGAGAAGTGTATAAAAAGCAGTAAGGCAGCATGCTTCTGAGGATTAATTATAGAGTACTGTCCAAGAACCAGAAAGAACCAACTGAACCAAGAACCAGAAAGTCTATATCCTCATCTGTCTGTTTAAAAGATAGGAGTATATATATACCCATCTAAATCATGGGATGGAATATGTTTCATAAATAATCATTGCTGATTCCTGCTGGCCTGTAGGTCTAAAATTAGGTCCACTGTTAGATACTCATAGGCAGCTGACAGCATACCAACTGCCACTAATATTGCATATCTTTCAAATGAATTCAGTATTAGATATTTCAAAACCTCATATTAATTTATTAATGCTTTTGATAAGAACCAGAGCAGGTTAGAGTGGACAGTGTACATACATTAGCAGCATCTCTGCTTTCTAAGGTCTGCATCCATCCCTTTTGCCATGACATTTCAGAATCTCGGACACACAATTGGTAGCCTGTTTCCAGTTAGATGATGACCAAAGTGTTACCCATCACGCTTAATTCACTGATGTATCTGGAAAGATAGGTCTGGCTAAACAATCTAAGACTGATTTTTGTGAAAGTGAAAGTGTTAGTCACTCAGTCATGGGGACTGTTTGCGACCCCATGGACTGTAGCACCAGGCTTCTGTGTCCATGGAATTTTGCAGGCAAGAATATTGGAGTGGGTACCCATTCCCTTCTCTAGGGGATCTTCCTGACTCAGGGATCAAAGCCGGGTCTCCAGCATTACAGGGGATTCTTTACCATCTGAGCCACCAGAAAGCTTGTTGGAATTCAAGAGTCACATCAGATGACACTCCACCACACAATGTG